CACCTTATTTTTACAGTTTCAAACTGATCCTCTACGAAAATAAAACGTATTGTATCTTAAATTGGGGACCAGCACTCGACCACCTGAAAACACACAAGGGATTTGTTACGGCATCGTTTATAACTTTTACCCTCATTCCCGTAATTATCCTGGTTATTGTGTATAGCATTATCATATGGACAATAAGAAAAAAGAACAAGAAAAGTAAAGAGCGATTGTCTTGTCGTCAAAACCATCGAGATCAGCAGCTGAGGAAAATTGTCGAAATGACGATGGCCATCATGATTTCCTTTGTTACCTGCATGACTCCTCTGCTTACCTATTTATTTCTTCTTATTTTTCTATGGAATTGGAAATCGCCACCCATTTGTGCATTTCAAACAATTATCCCATTTATTTCTGTCTTTCTGCTACATTCATGGAGTGCAGTTAATCCCTGCATTTGTTTTATCTTTAGCAAGAACTATCGCAATGGCCTTAGGCAATGTTTTCATTGTGACGGTCTCAGTCGAAGGCTATCAAGTTTACGGGAGAACTATCGAATGCGAACGATGACGAGCTCCTACGGAGACAGCTCTCTTGAGATCCACTCAAGTAGCGTACACATTATCTCGTACAGCAGAAACGCTTGAGCTCGCTATTTATTAAAATCCTAACTCAGAAAAGCAGAAGTAAAATCATTGGGTATACAGCTCGAACCCTTAAAGTTTGACTCAGATAGTTGTAACTTTATGTGATAACTGATAATTAAAGCGATGACGACGTCCAACCGGTAGAATATCATAAACTATGCACATCGAACTTAGAAGTTTGACACAGATGTCTAGCAATGTTAAGTTGATTTTGAGAGGAACACTGAGGATGAACTTAGTGCCACACACTTAACCACAAGAACCATGGGGACAATAGTCTCGTGTCACGATGAATCTGTTCTCTAAGTCAGATGGTCGATTCAATCGTGCAGATCTTAGCGGTAGAGATATGATTGAGCCACTTATTCCACTCGCATTTTTTGCTATGAGGGATGATCTAATAATTATTTGCATATCATAATACCGAGAATTTGGCTTCCTTTTAACTGAACGTTTTAGCTTGCTCTCATAAAAATCAATGGTTATTTGACTTATTCCACGAGTTTCGCGGAAGAAAATTTCTCAAAATGTAGCGCGCGCGAAAGTCCTATCTAATTCTTTAGGAGTTACTGTGGTATAATCCTCATGCACGCACGGCGTGCAGTTACACTTCGGCTGAAAGTTCCCGTTGAGTTTAGCTGCGAGGACCAATAAGCGTGGACCAATTCTTTATTTCCTCGTAGTGCTTAATTGCAGTCTTTCTGGCCAACGCCAGTTGATATCAGAGTAGACATCTTCGATTCAGTCTGACGATTATGAGGATACTTTTTACCATATTATTCTTATTATTATTGCTTTTGGCCTCCACTTGTCTAACTTGTCTAATTTGAACTTGGTCCCTAAAACTGAATTATGAATTCCCCAATTCTTGCCCCTTATTTTTGTCTATTTATTTTCATATTCGCTCTTTTATTGTAGAACCAACTATCATCTTGTAATGCATAGAGGTGAACCGAGGGCTATTCTTGTTTAATTATTCAAACCAGAAGAGGACACCTGGATCAAGGTCTATAACACTTCTACGCAACTGTCAGTTGTCTAATAACTGGTAAAAACGGAGGAAGTAAGAGTAAATAGTGCGTGATGTTTGCCAAATTGATGTTTATTTGGCTTTTCAATTTCATTAGAATTTGCAGTTACTTATTACTGATAATTTTTTTCATAGAAACGCAATCCACCTTCGCCTACAACTTTTTTTGTTTGTTTGCTCTCTATTTTTAGCTATAAACCGCAAGGCTTCTTCCTTCTCTGGTTTTCATATCAATTATATATTTTCCTTTCTATAATCTACAACCTCTCACTTTAGTCATGAGCATAATTTCAGGTAACCGGTTGGCCCCAGCAACGTCTTATCTCTCTGATTATGAGTTTTTGTAGCAGGACAAAGAATACATTTACGAGTTCTTATCTAATTCTTATTTTGGGTGCGTTAGTGCACGACGATGCAGTGTATTTATCATCATGCTTTTCGGTCCTTTTTATCTCGCTCCTGCAATTTTCTTTGGAACATGAAAAACGCGAATTAAGAGGATATATTAGCTCGTGTTTTCAAAACATATTGCGGCCATATCACGACTTTTAAAAACAAAATGTAGCCAGATTAAAACATGATGTTTCGGCGACGACATTATCAATGTAAAATTAGACGTTATATAAAGAAAGGAGAGTGTGAAACTAAATTAGAATAAAAGTAAAACAAAAGAATGCACTTAATTAAACGAACAGTTTCGCTGTTTTCTCTTTTATTGGGGCTACATCGCGACTCCAAGATCACTGTAAACTGGGAACGTCACGAGCGGGCGATAAGTGGCCTTTGAAACGTCCGATGATGCAGTGAAAGGCCCTCTTATCAAGAAGAGATGAATCAAACAGCAAAGAATTATACCATCTTTATAGAGAAATATATTTTTTACCTGATTCAGAGGTATTTTACAAGCGTTAATATTGAAACGTTGCAGTAAATTTTTATGACATACATTTCTCATCAGCTTTATATGCAAAAGCACCCTTCTGCATTACTTTGCGTTTACCAACACCAGCTATATCTACTGTTATATAAGACCGGATGCTCGATAATGCAAAAGCAAACAGCCTACGCATAGAAGGGAAGAGTAGAAAAGAAAAAGAATCAGGGAAAAGAAAAATGGGTGTCAGACCTCCCTTTGATTCGTAGCCTTAGGTAGCTTGCATGTCATTTGAAAGAAAACTGTTGAGTAATTAGTGGTAGAAAACTTCAATAAAATTGAAAGCAACATCGGATGTTGCTAAATGAACATGGCTTTGGCAAACGTCATGCGATATTTACCCTTCCTTCCCCCATTGAAGCCTAATATGACCTGTGCCGTAATAGTTGTAAAGGCGTGACATGAACCTGCCAAAAATTTGAATATCAATGAGGCATGTGAGACAAGTTGGGGGTGGAAAGGAATATGATGGCGACAGAAAATCAATAAAACATGGTAAAGGGTGTCGCCTAAACTGTCAGACTGAATCGAACACGTCAGTTGCTGATATTACGTGAAATAATGCGGAGAGACGAAAATTGAGCGCCACAAGAGGTTAAATTTTTCCCGCGAGCCCCATGGAATAAGACATTTAATTTGTTATTTTATTAAAGCACACTAGAAAGGTCAGCTAACTATAAGAAGCTAAAAGCTATGTATTTGTAGATGTCGCTCAAACGCGGGTTGGATTGCGCCGAAACAAAGTCGTGCGACGTTTCTTTTGATGGTCCACAATCATATTTTCCATTTTTTCCCTTTCATTTGCTCTTGATCTATTTAAGGAAAGTTCTTTTTGTGAGGAACTTTATTTTCAACGTCAATGGTAATTACTATGTCGGCTTGCTCATGAATATTTGCATTCATCCATCATTTGTTTCTATTCATTTAAATAAATTAACTTCAAAAGGGAACGACTCAGTTCTCAAATAAATAGGACCCATCCTTTAATCCTTCAAAACGAAACTCAGTGCTCCTTTCACAAAAGCGATATCTCTCTCGTGGATTGACGATAATCAAAACAAGTTATGACTATGAACACAACCGTAAAAATGTTCTCCAAAAACAGCTCACATACAACCAGCCATGCAGCTTCTAATAACTCATATCAAGCTTGTGAGACAGCCGACTCCGCTGTAGAGGTAACAACGAAAGCGGTGGCTTATATTTTCATTTTCCTGGTCTCGTTTTTCGGAAATATCTCCATTCTTGTAGTTATTTACAAGAACAAGCAGCTACGAAGATCCATCAACTACTTAGTTTTCAACATGGCTGTATCTGACCTCTTCATGCCTTTGACCATCATGACTGTGAAGATCGTTGAGATCATTTCAGGCTCGGAATCCTGGAAAGTTGATCGCCCGTGGCTGCTGGGAAACATTCTATGCAAACTTGCCTACTTTCTGTCAGATGTTTCTCTTGTGGTTTCTATAGGAAGCCTTCTTTTGATCTCCATAGAGAGGGTCATCGCTGTCGTCTTTCCACTGAAGGCCAAACTTATCTCCTCAAAAGTACGATTGATCAGCATTCTAAGCACGTGGTTTGTCGCCATCGCCATCCACGCACCTTATTTCTACAGCTTCAAACTGATCCCCTACGAAAATGAAATGTATTGTATCATGAATTGGGGACCAGCATTCGACCACGTGAAAACGCACAGAGGATTTGTTACGGCAACTTTTATCACTTTCATCCCCATTCCCATTTGTGTCCTGGCTATTCTGTATGGTATTATCGCATGGACAATAAGAAAAAAGAACAAAAAAACTAAAGAGAAATTGTCCTGTCACCAAGGCCATCGAGATCAACAGCTAAGGAAAATTGTCAGATTGGCAATGGCCATTATGATCTCCTTCGTTTCCTGCATGACTCTTCCGCTTATCTATTTATTTCTTAAAATTTTTCTGTGGAATGGGGAATCGCCACCCATTTGTGCATTTCAGACAATTCTCCCGTTTATTTATGTATTTCTTGTGCATTCATGGAGTGCAGTTAATCCCTGCATTTGTTTTATCTTCAGCAAGAACTACCGCGATGGCCTTAAGCAATGTTTTCATTGTAACGGCCTCAGTCGAAGGTTATCAAGTTTGCTAGAGAACTACCGAATGCGAATGATGACGAGCTCCCAGGGAGACAGCTCCCTTCAGACCCATTCAATTAGAGTACACATTATCTCGTACAGCAGAAACGCTTAAGCTTACTATATGTTAAAATCCTAACTCAGAAAAGCAGCAGTAAAATCATTGGGTACATACCTCGAACCCTTAAAGTTTGACTTGGATGGTTTGCAATGTTATGTGAAAACTAATAACTAATGCGATGACGACGTCCTACCGGTAGAATATCATTAACTATGCACGTCGAACTTAGTGGTTTAACATAGATGTCTAGCGATGTTAAGTTGATTTTAAGAGGAACGCAGAGGATGGGCTAACTGCCACACGCTTAACCACAAGAACCACTGGTCCTTGGAAAGGAAAATAGTCTTATGTTACGATAAATCTGTCCTCTACGTCAGATGGTCGATTAATTCGTGCAGATCTTAGCGGCAGGGCTACAATTGAGCCACTTATTCCACTCGCATTCTTTGGCATGAGGGATTATCTAATAATTACATTCATATAATAATACTGAGAATCTGGCTTCCTTTTAACTGAACTTTTTAGCTCGCACTCATGACAACTGATAGTTATCTGACTTATTCCACGAGGTGTGCAGAAGAAAATTTCTCAAAATATAGCGCGCGCGCAAGTCCTATTTAATTCCTGAGAAGCCACCATGGTTTAATCCTTACATAGGCACGGCTGTGTATCCACGACATGTTAGTCTGACAATTATGAGGATTCTCTTTATCATATTATTCTCATATATACGTTTTTTTTGCCTCCAACTCAGTTGTCTAACTTGTCCAATGCAAATATGTGAATTTTCATATATCTAAAATCTTTGTCCAATTTGAACTCGTTTCCCTTTTTTTTTGTCTATTTTATTTTTATATTTCCTCTTTTAAATGTAGAACCAACTATCATCTTGTTATGCATAGAGGCGAACCTGGGGCTGTTCTTGTTCAATTATTCAAACGACAAGACAACACCTGGATCAACTAGCGTGGTAAAATGTACTCAAATTTCGTGCGAGTCCATAACACGTCAAATCAAATCTAATAACTGGTAAAAACGGAGGAAATAAAAGTATATAGCACGTCATATTTGCCAAATTTATGTTTAGTTGGCTTTTAAACTTCATTAGAATTTTCAGCCTCTAATTACTGATAAGTTTTTTTTCACTGATAGGAAACGCAATCCACTTTATTTTACGAATGCAAAAGGTTTCCGATACTCCATTTTCAAGTTTTTCTTTTGTTTCTTGTCTCTTTTTCGCTTTAAACCGTAAGACTTCTTCCTTCCCTGGTTTTTATGCTCACTTTATATTTCCCTCTCTATGATCTACAAATTTTCATAATAGTCAGGAGCACAATTTCAAGAAAACGGTTGGCCCTAACGACGTCTTAGCTCTATGATTTCGTGCGTTTGTAGCAGGACAAAAAATATATTTATCATCGATCAGAGTTCTTACCTGATTCTTACTTTGAATAAATATATGGACGATGATGCGTTGCATTTATCATCATGCTTTTCGGTTTTTTTTATCTCGCCCCTGCCGATTTGTTTGGAATATAGAAGACGTAAATTAAGAGGATATGTTAGTTCGTGTTTTAGATAAAACATGTTGCGGCTTTATTACGACCTTTAATAATTAAACAGGACGTCTCGGCGACGACATGTCACCATTATTAAATGTAAAATCATTGCAAGTTCAGTGACGTTAAAGTGTGAAACTAATTAAACAAGAGTAAAAAATGCGATGGATTTAGTCTCTTTTATTGCGGCTATGTCACAACTCCAAGAGCACTGTAAACTGCGAGCGCGGCGATAAGTGGCCTTGAATGTTCGATGATGCAGTAAAAGGGCCCCTCATCAATGAGAGATGAATCAAACAGCAAAGACTCATACTATCTTTACAGAGAAATATATTTTTTGATTAATTCAGAGACATTTTGCAAGCATTAATGTTGAAACGTTGCAACAAGTTTTTATAACTAACACATTTCTCATCACCTTTATATGCAAAAACACCCTTCTGCATTACTTTGCGTTTACCAACGCCAGCCATATCTAGTGTTATATAAACCAGTTGCTCGATAATGCAAACAAAAAAACAAAACAAAACAAAACAAACAGCTTACGCATAGCGACCCCATTAAATAATCGCAAACTTTGAAGCAGTTTTCACCATTAAGCTGTCAATTCTCTCAGTGGTTTTTGCCATCAAAGTGTCACTTTCCGTTAATTGAATATCTTTCCTCTGCAGATTACATAGAGGTGAAAAATATACGATTGTAAAAGATAAGCAAGACAAAATGACACTGATATTGTTTCAGTAAATTTCTGGTATGGATGTAGAGCTGAAAAAATTTTTCAAAAAGCTGTTGTTTTCAAGTTCATTGCTGATAACTTACCATGCTTCTAGAATAACATTTAGAGATCGATCGTCGCCGACAGAGATTAAAAGGGGGAACCATGGGGGGGGGGGGATCGTAAGAATATTACAGAGCCTTACCCCACCCCCCACCCCCTTACGCGAACGAAAGAGCACATCCCCGTCCACATTTCGCATGAATATATGTCATTCAAGATTTCTCATAATTCACCTTTTAGGCTTTAGATTTCACGTGTAGTGTCACGTGACTTTTGATATAAACAAACCCCGAAAGTTCGGACAGTGAGTGGAGCGCGCAGCACATGTGTCCGAACTTCGGCTTTGGCAATTTTTCCTTAATAACTTCCCACTTTCAAGAAACGTTTCTTCGCTCAAAATTGGCATCTTTCTTTTCTCATTTAATTCATCGTTTATCAAGCAAGTTGTCATTTCGCTGCCGTTGAAGCAGATGCGAATAATGTCACAGGAAGCGTTGCGGCACGAAATAATCGAACCAGTTCTGCTTACAGTGATGTATCTGATCAGGTATTTTCAGGGTGTTAAGTACGTAGATTGTGAAATAAACCCCCTTCTGCCAGGAAATTAGTGCCCACGAATCGCTCTAGAACGCGAGGAAGCCTAATTCCTAAAAATAAAACCGATTTTAACTCTTTGAACGTGTACGATTGCAGTTGTTTACTAAGTGTTTACTTAAACATAATGGCTACGACAAAGAGATGCGCTTGTGGCACCTGCAAAAATGATTTACGATACCCCAACTCCTGGGTAAGAAACGTTAACGGCGACCCGGTCAAGCTTTTCCATTTTCCGGGGACAGTTAGACAGAAGGAGAGAAGGCAAAGGTGGATAAGGTCATTTCATCCCATATCTGCTGTAGCAAGTAAAGAAAGGGTAAGTTAATTCAGTCGTTATTTTATATCATTGTTTTGTCTTTGGAATTAATATGTCTACCATGCTTAGGTGTCGCGACTCAATCGTAAACGGAAGGCATCTTGCGAACGAGAAGCAGACAAAGCGAGGTGCAAGAAAGATTGCCTTAAACGATCAGTGGCAAAAGCCCTTCTTACACTTGATCGTCAAACTGGTAAATCGACAGAGGAATACGCAGTAGCCACAACCCTTTTAAATCTGAGCGTAGAGCCAGTGATGAGTTCAGGAGAGCACGACGTCTTGCAGGATCAGCTGGAGGTTGGCGAACCGGAAAATCGAACCGTCGAGTCAACTGAACCGATCGAGTCTCGATCGAGTCTCGAGTCTCGATCAAGTCACTTTCGAATCAGAGATAAACGAAAAAATTAACCAGAGATTGTGGCACACGAGTAAGTTAAATACTAGAGAAAAACAACTTATAATAGATAATTTTTCGTATTTGGTATGTACGACTCTCATGAAATCAATCCAAATCAGACTTCAGGTAGTGACAAGCTGTTGAAGAATTTCTTTATGGAAAAAGTATTGGACTCAAAGAAAACCTACCGTTAGACAGGTATGCAAATAAACTTATACTTAAAGAAGGTCTATTTTGTAAATAACATTCACGTCCAAGCAAAGTACATGTAGCAGAGTTAGGCAGACCATCCTTTTTAGCATAATGTATTTCTGGTTGTATTGTAGGCATGAAGAAGGACTACCTTCAGCTGATTTACAGCGAAATTAAGAAAAAAGGTGAACGCATCAACATGCGGAACGGTTCGCGAAGAACTAAGGCAGGAAAGATTCAGGATAAGTACTTGAAAGTTAGTTAAATGTTGTTGAAGTGAGCCATCACTTATTGCTATTTCAACAGAAAGAACTGAGTTAATTTTTTGTGGTGTTTTTCTCCCACTTTCTTAACAGTTTTGATTTCTCTTTTTAGAAGCGGCAAGAGATGGTGAAGATCATAACCAAAGAGCAATTTATCTTAACCCTTGTGAGACTTAGAAGAAACCCAAGTTTGGAAAATTTGTTGATATATTTGGCATTGATAAAGGACCTGGAGGCAAATTATTCATAATATGGATATTATTTTAGAAGAAAAACTGAACTTTCTTTTACCCTTTTCGACTAGAGAGGAAATGATTGGGGTGCCTAAACCCAAATGCTTCGCAGAGAGATCCCTAAACAATCTAAGAGCTATAATATATTGTACTAAATTCTATGTGGAAAAACCTTGCAAGCCATCAAGTCAAAGGTCTACATATAGTCAATATAAATCCTCAAACAGATTTCAATTATTTATTTCAATATCTCCCGTTTTGCATGTCAACTTTTTGTTTTAATTATACATGGCAGTATCAGTGACAAGGAGATTGTGAAAGCCAGTGGTTTTCTGGAAAAATTACAGTCGGGAGACGCTGTAATGGCTGATAAGGGCCTCAACATACAGGATTCTTTTGCTCTCCATAAAACTGTACTTATTGCACGTCCAGTCATGATGAAAAATAATGTCTCTGCACTTGCATCAATTGCTACAAGGCATGTTGCAACTGCAAGGGTTCATATTGAGCGCATCATAAAGCGTGTAAAATCATTCAATTTTTTTATTAGAGTTAATCCACTTACATGTAAACCATACACTACCCAGGTAGAAATCTTATTAAGATTCTTATTAAGATTCTTAATAGGAATCTTAAAAGGATGTTAACATGATACTTATAAAAGATCTTACCAAGATTCTTGCAAGAATCTTATGAGAATCTTGTAAGAATCTTTCAAG